TCATGAGCCACGCCTTGGCTCGGTCTTTTAAAGTCTCCGGGAAACACCGCATTCTGAGTTCGTCCTCACTTAGCCTGTGTAAAGGGAACGTCTGGAGAACATTGTAAACCTCCCGAATAAAGTGGAGTGGGTCCTCGTTGGCGAGCCCGTGGAATGATGGGAGCTGATTGTAGTGGACCACCTTCAACTCATAGTTGTGGGCGGCTTCTGGCAATTGGATGCAAGACGTTATTGGCCCGATCATGGGCTGGGCCAGATCTCGAAGGACATTGCGAGGAGGTTGTTGTTGTTGTTGAGCCATGTTCGAAGTACTCCCCTCAGATGACTTGGGAGAAAGTTTGCCCTTTTCTGGTGATTCGAGGGTCAGCTCCTCTAACAACTCCCTCAAACTCTCGTTAACCGACTTGTTGATTGGGGATAGTATACGTCCACTCCTGGTACGCATACACTCAAACAACAAAAAGGTTACTAGCACCAATGGTAAAGAAGAGAAAATAAAATGAAAACAAAAGAAAACAAAGAACTAACACCTAAACAAATAAAAAGAAAACAAGAGAAACACGAAAAAATAAATTGAATAAGCGCACAATATATCCTAAACCTTCCCCGGCAACGGCGCCAATTTGTTGTAAATATTTTCTGGAGTAGAATCGAAAGATTCGAACACCGGGTCGTGTCTCACGAGGAAGGTTAGCCGGAATAAAATGTGCGTTTATTCAAACACGAATGAAAGAAATAAAAGAGATAAAAATCCTAAACATTCTAAATCAAAGATTGGTTGGTTTTTAATATCAACTACTGCAAATAAATTAAATAAAGCAAGTAAATAGCAAAAGGGCACGTAGAACAAATAACATTTAACGAAGCTAGGGAGTCGGGGATATCCGCTTTGGTTCGAGATGCAACTAACGGGCAAGCGATTGTTCGGCCAAGAAATTCGAATAATCTACCTGATCAAGCATTCATTCTCAGTAACTTTTCGTAACAAGAGAGTAAACTAGAACGGCAAATTAACGACTCAATTAACTCCTAGGCAATACAGTTATGAACAAGCCTAGTTCATGCGAATCTATTTCGACCGACTCCTCCCCTTTTGGTTCTAAGAGTCGATTAAATAATCCTAGAAGATGGTTAATCAACTAGTCGATATAGGATTAACAAAATCACTCAAGAACGAATCAAATTCAATTAAATAATTGCAAATCGAAGTGTCACCCTTCAATAATTCTCAAAATTCAAGCATAAATTGAAAACCCTAATTAAGCATGAACCGCATAAACTGAACAATTTTAAGCCCGACAATCATACACGAATTCAAAACATCGATCCCCTATTCCCTAGCTTAATGATTTAGCTACTCATATTTGATTCAACACAATCAATCTCATAAATCAAGACAAGCATATTCATAATTAAAGGAATAGAAAGTCTTACGATTCACCGAAATTGAAAGTCGAGAACAATAAGCAATATTAATCCACGAGGCTACGACCAAATTCAAGTCTAAATCTGAGTTCTCTGTCCGAAATTATTCCAAGAAAAGTGAAAGAACAGTTTTCTTCTCTTTAAAACTGAGGAACGAAAAAAAAATGTAAAACCTAGGCTGGGGATAAAAATCCCACGAGTTCGCAACATCAGATTTTTTAAAAATCTGCTAACGCACATCCCGCGGCCACGGAGAGGCCCGCGGGCCGCGGTGAATATCGGCTCTGCGGCCGCGAATCGTTTCGAGGCCGCGAGTTTTAGGCTCTGAAGTTCCGGCGATTTGGGATCGTTTTTTTGTCGCCGCGGCCGCGGAGAAGGAGAGCTCACGGCCGCGGAAGATTAAGCTGGGCGCGACGGAAAGAAAAACAGCAGTGCCGCGGCGTGCCGCCTGCCACGGCGCGGAGGATGGTTCTTCACGGCATGTCACGGATGCACGGCGCGGAGGTTCTTCTCATCACGGCGTGGCAGGTGCAGTTTTGATCGTGAGTTGCGGTGTCGCAGCGCGGTGGTTCTGTCGCAGCGTGAGAAGCTGGTTCGTCTCGCGGCGTGAAGTGATTGCAGCGGCGCGGCGGTTCTTCTGGCACGGAGTGGAGGCTTGTGGTGGCAGCGGCGTGGCGTGGAATCATCGCGCCGTGAGGGAGGTGCAGCGCCGTGAAGGTGGTCTGCCCCTTCCGCGCCGTGATCGCGAAAGGTGCTGCTCCGGGCTCCTTGTGCTGCTGTGTCTCTTCACGGCTTTTGCTGTTCGACGGTCTGTAGGTTTTGCACAGTGTTGTCGAGGAGGTGTTAGAGGTATGCTGTAAAAGCTGTGTTTTGCAGTTTCTATCAATTCCATTT